ATTTTCTTTGGGGGGGCCTTTTCCACCAATAATTCCCAAGACTCTTCTTCTGTCAAGCCTTTCAAGTAATAAGGTTCCACAATGCTGGTACTTGTTCTCGACTTCAGAGCTCCTCCACCAACCTCCGCCACTTTTGTGGATCGAGTAGTCACCAACACTTTGCTTCCGAGAGCACCAACCCTCAAATATTTTCCCAAAGTCTCCCAACTTCGGTTGGTCTCCTCCCACACATCATCTAATACAAACAAAAACCTCTTGCCTTCGATTTTTTCCCGAACTCGAGTTTGCAAAACATCCAAATCAACACCTTCTTGGCCTCCACAATTTATGGATCGCAGCATCTTTCCAAGAATCACTTTGACATCAAAGCTCTGTGAAACATAGACCCAAGCTTTGATTTCAAAGTGAGTTTTAACCTCATTGTCATCAAATACGAGCTGAGCAAGAGTAGTCTTTCCCAACCCACCCATCCCAACGATTGCGATGGCTGAAATGTTGGCTTCACGATTATAATTTAGCAGTAACTCGATGATATTTTTCTTGTCATCTTCCCTCCCAACAACAATTGTGGGGGGGCAGGAATCAGTCTCACTGGAAGGAAGAGGCTCATCCTGAGTAGTATGAACTTCCAGATGCAAGGTGTCCTTGTCTTTTGATATATCGTCAAGCTTCTCCCTAATGGCCTTGATACCATGAGCCATCTTAAGATCGTATGCCAATTGTTTGGGGAGTGAGGAGAGCAGGAAGCATACCACACTCCAACAAGTCGTACCTAACGTCCTTCTCCCGCCACCATCATCGCTGCCAGTTGATGTTGCTGCTAGCACAACCGTCCGACGAGCCTCAGTAGCGAGATCATCGAGCAGATCTTCGGCATCATACATAACTTCAGAGAGCTTCTCCAGCCAGTCCTTCACTTGGTTACTGTGGAACTGCTTCTCTTCAGCATCACGGAGCACTGCCTGAATGGTGCCGATGGTGTCCTTCAGTTTCAGGAGCTCGCGCTTGAAATTCCACAGAAGTCCAAATTGCTCTGAGGCCAAGTCGGTTGCCTTGCCAAGAATTTGTTTTGCAACTGGGATCAGAATGATTTCAGCCATTTTATAGGAATTCACGGAAACAAACGCAGAGGAGCTGGAACAAGAGAGCAAGGGGATGAGAAAAATGAAGCTTTTTTTATGGGCAAGAGAAAATGAAGAATTTTTTTTTATTGATATGAAAAACAGAGGATCAACCAAGATAAAGCAATGTGAAAACACGGAGATCGGGATGATTTAGCAGGGGGAGTAACAGAAAAAGACAATAACGAGAAGGAACAAGGAAACGAAAGAGCAAGAGCTAATCAAGAGCCAAGAGGGAGGAAACTAGAGAAAAGAGAAAATCAAGGATACGAGTGACAGCAACAAGCAGCGGAGCAAGATGGAACAAGAGAGTAGGAGGAAGGCTCTGAACTTTCACCGACTTTAGATCTCTGGAAAACAGGGGAGCAAGGGATCTGCAAGAGGGATTTGAGGTTACGACAAGGAGATTTCAACAAACCCAAATAATATTATATACCCCCATGCAAGTACGACGATGGTGAACATCTACTAAGCACATGAATATTTCTAGTTCCCATGTGATGTGAACCTTCCCAGAAGTATAACAACCCAGTTGACATCACTAGACTTCAATATTAGTATACTACCAGTTGGTGCATAAAATAAAACTTCTGGATTTTGATATACATATAATGTCATAATGTTATAAAAATCTGTAAATTTGAATTGCATATATCAAAATATTAAAAGTACAAATCCATAGTTCATGTAGCACAACATTTTATATGTACTCGAAATCAGTGATATGATGCATTATAATATTTTGAATAAGAAGTACAGTAATAAAAATATTACAACCCCCCAACAAAGACACATCAATACCTCGGCAATGGCCAGGACACAAAGCTCGTAATCTATTGAAAGACCATTGAGAACAAAGACAACAAAAAGATAGCAGAATTGACAATTACCTAATGTTAATTGTCTGTGCTGATTGATTGAGCTGTGCTCCTCTTTCCTTCCCAAACCTGCACAATTCAGAATGTAAGAGTCGGAAACACTTAACTGAGCTGTAACTTGTGCGCGCTACCATTAACGGATCCCATCGGGTGGGATCTGCCCTAGGGGGCGAGAACCATAGCTGAGAAGAGAGATAACTGGAAAATGGAGATGAAGAAGAGTAGCAGAAAGGACTAGACCTTTTTCACTTCGATCAAGATAAGTTTGCAGCATTTAGAAATGGTGCAATTCTGGATTGGTGTATGTTGTTACCAGGCAAAATCTAAATCTACAAATTAAGTAACTTTCTGCAGAATTCAAGCATATTCATTGCAGAAGACCAGAGAGAGGTCTAAAACAATATTCAAGAGAAACCGGGAACGTATATAAATGGAACTCGATCAAAGGAATGATGAACATACTCAACATGCCAACAAGTCTCATCTCATCAGTTGCAACATCAAAAAAAATGAAACTCATTTTGTCCAAGCATAATAAGCAGAACTTCAAATTATCCACCAAAATTTGCACGCTTATGGTTCTCTATATAACCACGACAAAAAAAGGCACAAAAAACTGAAAACAAACACAACAGAGACCTACACAATATCTTAGCAACTCTCAATCTAGCTCCTTCTAAAGTTTATTTGTAAGGGATGACTGCCAACCCATCTATCCGTTGTCTGGACTCCATTTCCGTAGACTCCTAAACAAGAACTGCATGATGATGGTCGATTTAATTCCTGCTACCTCTGTTTCGATTGGAAGAAACAACAGTCCACCCATCGTCCTCCATCTGACTTTCAATAGGCCTGTTCTCCGAACTCGCCCTAGGCTGAGGAACTGGCGAATCCACTGCAATATTCGATCTAGTTCCGGGGATCATATCACCTTCGTTATCACTTCCACCCTCCCACGAGTCATCATCGTCTTCATTAGCAGCCTAATACAGCATAAACAAAGCAACATCAACACAAACCACCACGAAGAACTATTGAAACCTTCAAATTACAGTTCTTAAAAAGAGTTAACCCTGTCTAATATGTTGATGAGTTCCTGCTGCAGGCCCTGGGTCTTCTCAACAGAGCTATACTCACCTTCCAAACATTCCTCATGCATAATCATCAACTTCTCTACCACCTACCATCGTCAATCTCGCAATTGAGAGAAAGCATCCCTTCGTCCAGAACATTCTCTAAATCGTCGATGTAAAGCGGCTCAGCTGTACACAGCACGGAAGAACCGACAAAAGAGTCAGCAATTGCACTAAGAACCGCAAAACTAACGATGATCGAATTTCCCATTCCGAATTAGAACTATTCTAGACACTAACTACCTTTGGGCTGGGTGAACCAGGAGACGATGTCGGAAGTGAGTTGATCGGCCGACTGGCGGAAGCGACGGCCAGCCCATTCTTCTTCGATGGCGAGCCGAAGAGCCGACCACCGGGAGAGAATCAAGTATACGCCTTCGTTGAACACGGGAAGTGATTCCGCCGTCAGCTGCTTTGCTGGTCCGTTTTGGGCGTCCCCTCCACCATTCATGGCTTCCTCTCCTCTCCCCTTCCCTTCACTCTCTGTTTCTTCTTCAGTGTGCGTAAAAACCTAATGGCCTAATCTCTATCAATTTCGCGGTTCCGCCAAAAGGCAAAAGTGTTGAGTGGTTAAATGTCTAAATGGCCACCAAACTTTAGGATTGTATGAAAATGGGCAGATGAAAGAATAAATGGTGATCTTGGTGACTAGTTTGTGAGTATAATAAAAATTGATGACTTAAACTTGAAATATTTAATGTAAAACGAACAATGGCTGCTGAGCTTTGTAATCTTATTGACCATTTCATTTGGTTGAGGTGAAGCACAAACGTTTTAGAGCCTCGAACTGGAACCGAAATGCCCGATTGACGAGAGTCGAGAACGATAATTACACAGTACTTTGAAATGCACGATATCGATAATTAGACGGCATATCAAGACATGTTAGTGATACATTCTGTTTTCTCGCGATATATGCTCGACTCGACTGTGCATGAAAGATAATATATCGAATTACACTTACAAGAATATCCACCTGTTCCATTTCAGAAATTCAGATCCTCCAAACTATTCTCACAATAGATCCGAAGTGAATACACTTAAAAGTTCATGCAGCAAGTGCAGAGGTGATACCACCATTATTCATCTTACTCTAACAAATCACACCCAGGGCAAACAAGTCCGTTAGTGTTACACCATCGGATCGCTGGACAAACATGATCGAACGGCATAAACACGTGCTTACAGAAAAACCGAAGCAAAGGGAATAAAGGAAGACGAAGAAGCAATCTTATCATTCCGAGCCTTAAGCAGCAACGAGTCCAAGTTCCAACAGTAAGGTGTGATTGACATCATCCGAGCCAGGTCCCATAAACTGAATTGGACCTGCACAAACGTCGAATACTAGGATCAAAACATTGCATGAAGCTAGCGTACGAGCGCAGAAATTGATGGCATTTCGAACTGGAATTGGTCATCGGTTCAGTGACTACACATACCAGGACTGATGTATCTGTTCTTGAGTGCCCACTCTTCCCGCATTGAAGCAAACTTTTTGAAAGGTGCACCTGAAGTATTTATGCCGATTAGACTGCAGCTGAAATGGTAGCCATTGTGTGTGCTTTGATAAATCAAGATTCTTAAGGGAGAATCAATAGACAACAATTACCTTCAAGCTCTACCATTGCCTTCTTGATAACGGGCTTGTTTTTACCTGATTAGAAGAAATAACAGGGGAAGGGAAGAGTATCATTACTCAAGCAGCACCTCACAAAACCAAATATGGAGAAGGACATTCACAAAGGAATCCCAGGATGCAACAAATTCGTGATTAACAAGCCGTAAAGATTTTATCCAAATCCTAGTTCCCTCCCACATGTTACTACCCGCAACAGAAGTTCATGTTGTCGGCAATAATAAAACTTTACCATGTCTTCTCTCCACATCCATTAAGGAAGTCAATGCAGTCCCGCCCACCGTCCATTCTGAAACAGGGGCACCCAGATTTCCAACCTGGGATACAACCAGCATAAATTATCATTAAATGACAATGTTATCATGGTAAGAGTATTGATGTTCCCTTTTAAGAATTGAAATAGTATTGATATTACTCCCCTCAGATCAAGCAAGACACTAAAAATAGCTTAGAAGAAAAGCTTGACAGGGAAAATGAAGCGAAATGAAGAGAGATTAGAAAGTGGACCAGTGACAATAAGTGTCGGCAACAAAGAGTTGTATGGACTTACTGATGAAATCAACCCAGTCTTCCCACTGTGGAGAAGAACAGCAGCAGCATAGCCCAGTGCATAACAGTACATAGAATCAAAATTAGTTGGCAACCCACATCTTCCTTCATACCTGAAAAAGAATAAATTCTTAAGCAATTGCTCCAACCAAATTTGAGAAAGCATCATATACATTATCAGGCAACAAGTGTCAACTCTCTCCAGCTAGCTATCAACTGAATTTTGATAAAACTAATTAACAACAACACAAGTAAAAACTAGTGTTTCGGTTGGCATAGCTGGTCAGTCGTGACAAAATATGACCAAAAGAGTCTTCAATTATAGGCCTAAAGTATGGAACTAGTGAAAAGTTCATCAAGTATGTTACCCAAAGAAGTGGGATTGTCCTTTGAATTGGCCTTTGTATGAACCTTCTAGCTTCCTTTTTTCTAACTCGGTTTCAACCATCTGAATGAGCATTTTCTCTGTCTCTATTTTAGCAACCTACAAGCACAACAAAAAAAAAGCATGAAATATACAACAATCCAGAAGAGATTCTTAACAAGTGAATCATCTACTGATATTGATATGTGGTAGACACCTGAACATTTCCGTGTGGATCTCTCTCAAGCATCAACTGCTCCTGAATAGCTTGAGGCAAAAATTCAAAAAGCTGAAGAGACTGCTCCGCAAGCTTCTTCTTCCAGAGCCCAGCTTCATCAACAACATCATGGGCCAGAATTTCATTCAGTTCTGCAATGAGCTGCTGGACCTGCACAGCACAATATGCCACCGAATGCCCATTTAATTACTAAAATTTGACATACCGCTGTGTGAAAATAAACTCTCTAGTACCAGGCCAGTAGGGTCCTAAATCCTCACATTGAGCAGGGATGGAAGATGAACATAAGCAAAACAGCAATTAGGATACCTCAGGGATGAAATCAATCAAGCCCTCTGGAATAAGGATAACACCATAGTTATAACCAAGTTCTGAGCGTTTGGAGATCACATCAACCATGTAATCGGTAACATTTTTAAGGGTCAATTTTTTTGCAGCAACCTGCAAGACAATACAACTTGAAACATCAGCACTTTTCCTGAGTAATTTGCTTCATAGAAAAAGTACTTAGACCGCAACATTTTGTTGAGGAGATAATAATTAACTAACAAACTGGACCGATGGTAAAAAGGAAATACCTCTTCTCCAATGATTGTAATGTTGGGGTGAGTTTGCAAAGCACACTCCAAGGTAATGTGGGAGGCAGCACGACCCATAAGCCGTACAACTGAAACAAAGCAGTAAAGTCCATGCTTATAAAGACAACAAGAGATGGTGTGATGTGAATTGATGATGAAGGGGGGGGGGGGGGGGGGGGGTAGACTTTTGCCGAAAGGCAAGACAGAGCTACAAATATAATAAAAATGCATAGCTGCAAACACGAACTTGAACCCAAAAGTGACCAACATAGGGACAACAGAGGAACTCCCATGAAACTCTCAGAAACAACAAATTAAGATGTAAGGCTAAACTTAAGAAATTGTTCTACTGAGCTTAGGTTCGAACTGTGGGCGGGGGGTAACCATTGCGAGTAAGTGATATAGGCACAAGGAAGTCAGCGTCTGACAACTAACAAGTCAATGCCTTACAAATAATTCATTGAAATAGCAGCAGAATTCTGAAGAGCCATAGCCAAATTTCTTTCTTATGAGGCAGAGAAAAAGGAAGTATCCATCCTGGAAGCACCTAACCTCTTAGAGGCAGCACCAATAAAATTGAGCAGATTCTTTCTGAAGCATTTTCCCGAATTTTAATATAACTTACTCAAAATCATAAAATGGTCACAAAGGGCAAAGGATCGAGATAATTGACTTACAGTGATAATATTTCCCAGTTGATCGGGCATCAATCATGACATTGCCAATCATTTCAGCATATATCTGCATTCCTCATCACACAAACAAATACTCTGATAAATTAGGATACAGCGAACAAGTAACAAAATCTATTTGAAATGCATTCAGATTCAGACCCGGGCCTGTAATGAGAAAGCAGACACTCCTCCCACCCTATTACTTTTATAGTGAACATGACTTCGAACATGAGAAACAAAAAAAAAAAAAAAAAAAAAGGAGACGGCTCCTAATCACCTTGCAGGCAGTGTCGAATCCAAAACTGGTGGGGACCTCTTTGCATTTCAGATCACCATCAATTGTCTTCGGGCAGCCAATTACCCGTGCCTTCAAATTCTTGCTCCTGATTGATCAAATGAAGCAGGATAGGTTAAAAAAAAAATATCATCATTACAACAAAACCCTGACTGCCAGCCAGCAGAAGCCGCAAGCAATAGAACAGCAAGAACAAAAAAACAATGTGGTGTATACCTGAAGTTTTCAGCAAGCAGGCAAGCATTAGTGTTGGAATCATCCCCACCAATAACAACAAGCCCGTCCAAATCGAGCTTCACTGCAGTTTCTTCAGCTTGCTTAAACTGCAAGTTTAATCCTTTTCAAAATCAGCTAGGCTTTTGCTTTCAACTACCACACAACCATGCGTAAATGAAAGAAATAGTAACACCCACCTGTTCCGGTGTCTCAATCTTGTCCCTGCCACTGCAGATCATATCAAAACCACCCTGATGAACCAAGAAGATATCACAGGCTTTAGACAGTGAGAGTGCTGGAATCAAGCAGACAATGCCACAGATCCTCAAAGCCAGTAAACTCCACTATTACTCTATCTATCAAACAATGATGGTACCTGGTTTCTGTAAGGGCGAATGTAGTCAGGAGTCAGTTCTACATATTTGCACTTCATGATACCAGCAGGACCTCCACGGAATCCATAAACCGTACTCCCCTTGGCATGAGCCTGCAAGTAATCTACGGCCACACAAAAGATCGACAAGCTAACGATCGGAGCAATTCGAATCGCCGAACTGAAGACAGATCGCGCAAATTTTAAAATGCCTTTCCCTTACCAAAGATCCCGGAGATGACATTGTGTCCTCCGGGCGCCTGGCCTCCGGACAAGACCACGCCGATTTTCAGTTTGCGACCGGAATCGAGAGCATGCTCGCCGTCGGTCGGCATCAGCATTGTGGAAGGCTGGCCAAACAGATTCGGGAACAGACTGGCGATCCCATCTGCAGCAGCAGAAAGATCCAGAAACTTCAGACTGACAGTAGTCAAACGCAATTGACCTCGCTAGGAAGGAGAGGAGAAAGTAGGACGAACCAGGGTTCCCGGCGGCGGAACTAGCGGGGCCGTCAACGATCTTGAATGGACCGGTGAGGACTGAGGGGAGAGGGAGTGCGTAGTCGATTCGGCTGGTCTGGACCTCACTGTAAACGGAGGATGCGCGGCCGCCGCTGGAGGTCTTGCCGATGGCGGCGGCGAAGTCGCCACCGTTGATCACGAACGAAGGAGCCATGGGAGACGGATTCGGCGAAGGCGAAGAGGGGGAGAAACGGCGGTGAAAACGAGAGAGATGAAAGCGGAGTAGAACACTGAGCAAGAAGACAATGTTTGGTGAGGTTTTATATGTTAGGTGGTTTGTATTGGAGTTATATATATCCAACAGCTCCCTTTATTTTATCTCGACTAACAAACCAGCTCCTAAACTTTTAAATTTTATCTGAATGACTCCTCCTACCGTCTTAATATTGACAAACACACCCTTCTGTTAAGTTCTCCATCGTAAATGGATCGATAATCAAGGTTGTCAAACTGGTTTGAACCGTTGAATTGGTCAACAGCGAGGGTTCATGGAGGGAGTCTTGCAAATATCGCTTTTCGACCACCGGACAGGAGGCTAGCAAATGGTATGAGATTCAATGTTTGGACCTGGTTGGACCAATTTAAGTCATTTTATCAATATCATTAAAAATATATGTGTGTGTATATGGAGATAATCTAAGTTTTTAATAATTTGAATATAATTTGGCAAGTACCATACAATAATTTAACAATTAATATATTACATGACCCTAAATGATGCGTTTATATGCTTCGTTTTCCATAGTGGCATTTGCGAGAGAGCCAAAATGACAACATTTTGTCCAAGAGCCGGAAACCAATCAAACCCGCGATTAGACCAACGGTTTTAACCAACTACCGGCTTGGAGGCAAATTGGCTTTTTGTTGGGGACTGTTTTCGGCAACGACTCCGAACTGACCCGGTACAACTGACCGACTTAACTACAACTTGACAACCTTGTCATTAATCACAAGGCTCGGTTGACGTAGTCAACAATTAGTATTTTAAAAATGACAAACTTGCCCCGTTCATTTGGGCGAGCAAGTTAGCGCTTGTGTAGCCTCTTTTCCTTTCAATCTGGCTACAGTCATACATCTATCGAAACTAAAGGTATGTTCTGGCATGATTCATAATCGTTAGATCGTACGTTCTGGATGTACGTTTGTGACAATTGTGCAGAGGTAACCAAGTTACATGTTTAAACAAGAACATAACTAGCTATTTATTCTTAACTACATCCTAAATAGTTGCTCAAGGTAATTAAGGTAGCAATTACATAATGCCAATATGATGTGAAAAAATGAAGCTCAAAGAAACCGGCCTCGCTTGTTCGGCTTGTCAAAGATCCCCGGCCCATACGTCGACAAGAAGATGTCGACGAGCAGGGGAAACTGCAGCAGCGCAAACAGAGTCACCGGAACGCTGGCCAGCAACATGATCGGAAAAGAAACCCAATCGAACCTCTCCTTCAAAAATATCATCAGCGCCACCCCAAACGTCATCATCATCGTCGCCATCGAGAAGAACAGAGTCGACAGCCCGATGATCAGCTTCATCGGCAGCGACCGGAGGAAATCCTCCTCCCGGTACCGCGACGTCAGCATCCCGAGGAACATGAGCATCGACGACGTCGACGAGAAGAGCGAGACGGCGTCGGAGACGATGTAGGCGATGAAGGAGCTGCGGTGGAGGAAGATGGGCAGCCCCGTGTACTGGTCGAACCCGCCGGGGAGTGTGAACAGAGCAGAGAACATGATGGTGGCGATCAGCGCCGCCACCACCGTGCAAGACGTCGCCGTTTCCTTCATCCACTTCTCGCCCTCTTCCACCAATCCTCTGTGTTCTTTGGTGAACAGAGTCCTCGGCGTGTCGTGTGACAGGTTCCTCATCTCCCTCTGCTTCGGCTGCACGATGCTCTCCACTTCTTTGTACCTGTGGAATTGCATTGTTATTTAGTGGAGACAAAGTTCGTACTAATGGAGCTATCCGATTTCAAACAGACTAATGTTTTCTGTGACGTGATGACACATTTTGTCGTGTTAGTTACTGACCACTGTAGCTCCCTCTGCATCTGGAGGGCGGCCCCGGTGACCCGGTCGAGCTGGGAGAGCGGGGCCAGGAACGCCGCCTGGTGCAGGATGTTGTTGTGGTTCACGTCCCAGGGCGTGGCCATGGCGTTCTTCTTGGCGCCCATCCGGTAGATCAGGTTGAAGATCTTCTCCTGGCGGTGGAGCGTCGCGCACAGGAAGATCCCCCTCTGGCTCTCGTCCTCTCGCCACACGATGTCCGGGTACTGCTTGATCAATTCCACTATGAGCTCGACGATGCCGTGTTCGATGGCGTCGAACAGGGCCTTCTGAATCCCCGTCTTCTCGAATTCTGACTCGGACAGGGTCGAGATCTGCTGGCACAGGCACCGGAGGAGCTCGATGGCCTGGACGTGGGTCAGTTTCAGGTCGTAGAGACGTTTGAATCCTGGAACTGTGTTGACCATATTAGCATAAACAAAAAAATGTTAATATATGACAACTTGTAACAACACACATTCTTAAGAACATCATTTTGTTAGGCGTATTAGCCTTTAGCTTATTGCAAGGACGTGATTGTTAAAATACAATAGTATGGCGGTGTATTTGTTAAAACATAAAACTCCAACCATTAAGCAAAGGGTTGGTTTGATGTAGACATGTAGTAGGTACAATTAGTGTTGGTTGAATGATGCCTAATAGTTTAATCATTAGTTAATTACTATTCAAGATGTTATTAATTTATTATTACTTACTATTCAAAATCAATGATGGACCGATAGTTGTGCATATGTAATGTGTTTTCATTAATGCACGTATTACAGATAAAGTTCAAGCTAAGCACGAGTGTTGGGGCCTCACCTACTCGTCTAGGCATCGACTATACGTGTCTATGCATTGGAAGCAAAAATAGCATTTGGTACTACATAATGAATGAAATATTAATTGTACCAAACTGTTGCACTTCAGTTCAAAATGATTAATAACTTAACTAACACTTAAGAATGAGAAAGTAAGCTCACAAGTTCATAAAATCATAGCTCAACAGCTCACAAAGTTTTTGAACTATAGAAAAGATTGATATAGAAGATTTCAACTGTAGATGAGACTAATTCCCCCTCTGATATCGAACGCCTAGCTCCGTCTAATCATGTGTAAGGGACACGCATGCGTCACCTTACTCCATTAACGTGTTCTCAATGACTAATTTTAAAATTAATGATTTCAGCGATATGGCATAAAATTAAATGCATGCATTGTGTGTAATTATCATACACAAAAATAAGGGATGAATCTTCCATAGCATGTATTGCCCAAATTCCATATAAACAATCACAACTGGATATGGTGATTTGGTGTTAGGTCAAAGTACAGTACTTAATTAATTATCACATGATTACCTAGATACTTGAGGCTCCTGGAGAAGACGACCAATAATTGACGGAGTGCTGAAAATTTTGCAAAACATTACAGAAATTAAAAATAAGAGGAAATGGACATTGATTATTATATAAACTAATCTCCAATTACTTAAGTAGTGATTAGTCATAATCAAGGAATATACCTTTGTTTATCATCCACAAAAGAAGGAATATACCTTGTCTCAATATGGTTCTCTTCCTGCCCGTTTCTGGTCTCTTATCGTCCACAACTCCATCGTCAGAGACAATGTTAAGCGACGCAATGTGAGGCACCCGTATAACTGCTTTCCCCCCCCCCAAGTAATCAATAAAGCATGATTAATTAACACTAATCTCAAACTAATTAATCGTTTAAGAACTGGATTAATTGAAGCTTTACAGGAATAGATCCACCATTGCCACCAAGCAAGCGGAGCTCCGCTGGGAAACGCCGACGGCGTCTGAGCCAGCACCTCCAGCGCTGTGTCCTTGTCGCTGTCTTGCGTGAACGCCAGTTGCGGGTAGCAGTGAAGCAAGTCCAGTGCAATATCTGCAACACAAGTGTGTATGGGTTTGTTTATATAAAGAGAACTGATTTAGCTTGTGGATTTTCGGTTTCTAGGCTCTGATACTACGTCAAGAATTACCAGTTGATCCCAATAACTCGAGTTGTTGGGAGAGGTTCAATCGTGGATCATATACCACACACTAACACTAGTGGCTAGCACCAAATCCATAAGGTCGGATTGGGTCAATGTCTACAGACTACAAGGGCGGTTTATGATCGGGTTATCTTCTTATTATAAGGGTCGGACAGAGTCAAGTTTACTATTTAGACTTTGTCATAGTATTGATATGAAATTCATCATTCCAACACGGGGTCGGATACTATGCTAACCCCTAAAGGGGTAGTGGTTTTTGACACCCTCCTCTTGATTGGTCACTTTTCCATTTAAGCTTTTTACTTTATTTATTGTAATCTTGTAAATTGGGAAAGCCTTAATTGTGATAATAATTATGAATGGGGAAGGAGAAAAACGTTGGTAATTATGAATGGGGAAGGATCTGGGGAAAAACGAAATCACCCCCATTAATTACATAATTAATTTCTCTCACTGGTACATTAATTACACGTACCACTACACTGGTACACGTACCACTCCACTGGTACACGTACCACTCCACTGGTACACGTACCACTCCAATGGTACACGTACCACTCCACTGGTGCGAGCAATCCACAAGGTAGGTTAGAGTGAGAACAATACCAGTGCAATGATATTTTTCATAACAATGAATAAACATAAAGGCTTCACAATTTTTTAAGCCTAAACAGGACATATGGTTACACGTACCACTCCACTGGTACACGTACCACTCCACTGGTACATGTACCAGTGGAGTGGTACGTGTACCAGTGGAGTGGTACGTGTAACCATATGTCCTGTTTAGGCTTAAAAAATTGTGAAGCCTTTATGTTTATTCATTGTTATGAAAAATATCATTGCACTGGTATTGTTCTCACTCTAACCTACCTTGTGGATTGCTCGCACCAGTGGAGTGGTACGTGTACCATTGGAGTGGTACGTGTACCAGTGGAGTGGTACGTGTACCAGTGGAGTGGTACGTGTACCAGTGTAGTGGTACGTGTAATTAATGTACCAGTGAGAGAAATTAATTATGTAATTAATGGGGGTGATTTCGTTTTTCCCCAGATTCTTTCTCTTTTCCAATGTGGTGAGAGACCCCAAATTACAAGATTAAAAAAAATAAAAAATCAGTTTAATTAATACTTGCCAATGATTGGAAATAAAATTGGCCAATCATAAAGGGGGTGTCAAAAATCACTACCCCTTTAGGGGTAGTCACGCTAACTGATCCCTTCCAACACGCTAGACTTATTTGTAAAATTTGTAAAGTGTAGGTACTATAAAAAATATTGATACTAAAATATAGTCTTATCATTGACATTTATGTACCTATATGCAAAAAAAT